GGTGATCTTGTGGCACAAGTGATTGCATTTAAAAGCTTTAGCCTTTCATTCCTGCTCCTTCCTGCCGTGAGCCCTGAGCTGTCTTCTTTGCACTCTGCCATGTCAGCTGTGTGACCTCTGTGTTCTTTGTTACTTGGGTGCAATAGCGACTTCTCTGTGCATTCCATCTTTCAAGTTGTGTAAAGTTGTTCACTTTTTTCTCGGAGGGTGTTCGGGGGGTGGTAGGGGGAGTCAGCATGATTATATTTTAATGTAGAAAATGTGACATCTGGATATAAAATGAAAATAAATATTAAATTAAAGTGACCTAAAATGACTCCGTATCGTCTAATCATAGAAACAACAGCAACAAGCACATATATAATAATGCACCTATTTTTTTTTTTTTAAGATTTTATTGGGGAATTCGGGGAGGAAACAGCGTTGGGGAATCAGGGAAGGGGAACAGACAAGTTGCTGTCCTTCTGTTCTTCAGTCTAGTTGTGGAGGACATCACTTCACTGGCCCATGATGGTATTATTGCGCTCTTCCTGGGTGAGGCAGTAGCTCGCTGGCCATTGGACAGCCGCTTATAGTGGCTCACAAAAGCTCATGCCCGCTGCCGGCCAGCCCCACTGCAGCCTACGCCGTCGCTGGCGACTCACGGCAGCCCAGCTCCAGGTTGAGCTGTTGTTCACCATCTTAGCTGTAGAGGGTGCCGTGTCACTGGCCCTCATGTGGGATCCGAACCGGGGCCCTGCTGCTCAGAGCTGGCGTCCCAAGCCAACTCCTAACCACTCGGCCAGCCCGCCCCCCCTTTTTTTTTTTAAACCGAGCTCTGGCCAGTTTTATTAAAGAAAAATTTTGCATGGTTTACTTTTCACTAGTCTATTCTGGCATGCTGCTAATGATATCAGAATCCCCTGGATCAATGATAGCCAGTGTGCATACTCTAGTCTAATTTTCCACACGCTGTGCCCAATTCAATATCATTGCCACTGTAGTGATGGCTATCCGTCCTGGCCAACATGGTGTCGTACTCTGTTTCAGATTTCCTCAAGGCTGGGCAGTTGTTGGCAAGGATGACCAGTTTTGCTTTGCCTTGTCTGATCATTTTCAGAGTCTGCTTATACCCCAGCACACACTTTCCACTTTTTATAACAAGTTGGAGCCTAGAGTTGATTGACTTCAGTGGCTTCATCTTTTTTGTGGCCACCATCTTCCTGCCTTAGGTGCAGGATGGCGCCCAAAGAAGAGCAGCTGCCAAGATGGCCAGGGAGCAAGAAAAAAAGGATATAATGCACCTCTGATTTCACAGTTTTGAACATCATAACCAGTATTGTGAATCACCCCTGGGTTATAGGCACATGGCCCAGGTCTTAGACCCTCTTTTAGGCTGCCCTTTCAAACTCGCTTCAGTAATGTCTCTTCCAACAACTGTAGTTTGACCCAAGTTTGAGAGTTACTGCAGGTGTTCTACAGTGTTCTTTGTTTTAGACATTTTCAGGACATCTAGAACCCACCTGCCATGAATGAAAGTGGGTGATAAATAGAAAATGGAATACATTGATGCAAGCCAAAACTTGCTTCAAATAAAAGTTAAAGTAGATGTACAGTGTATCGAGAAAACACTGGTTAAAGCACCAGGGTGCGGCTTCTTGGAGACTTCTCGTCTTCAAGGCCACCTATAGGAGATGTAGGGGAAAGGGCGCAATCATGGCGAGAACTGGGCAGCCTGTGTTCTGATCCCGGTGCTGCCACTATGGCCTTGCTTAGTCATTTAACAAGTTTGTGTCTGTTTGCTTATGTCCCCCCTTAAGGTTTTTAACAAAACTAAAAGGTTTTGATGGGGAAAAATGAACAGGTGCTGGGCCCATGGAAGAGATATTCTAAGGAGATACTTTTATTAAACGTTTATTAAGGCAGATTGACTTACTACTCTTATAGCAGCATTCTTAGGGTTATTTGGTTAAGTGGTACTCGTGTTAATTTCTTATTTTTTAGTGAAAACATTTTCTTCGTGTACCTTTTGGTACCAGTGATAAGACCTTATTAGAAGACCCATTAAAATTATGCTTTAATATGGACCCTCACTGTGATCAAATTTTAAAAAAAAATTTCATTTCAGTTGACTTAAAGTATTTGAGAGGAGAAAAAGTATCTTCAAAATTCAGAGAACTAAGTGACTCATGGAACATTTATTGCTGGCAGTTGACTACAGTTTCTGAGATTCCCTGTAAGTGAAAAAATGTTTTCAGACCAATGCAATAAATCCCTCACTAGGATGTTTTCTTTTCAGCAAGTATGGGTGATGCAAGGTATCTGAGGTCAACAAAGCGTTGTCTGCTTTTGACATTTTCCATTAGACTAGTAAGGGAATGTTAGCTTAATCCTGTATTAAGGAGCAACAGAAAATAGTTTCCCAGACTAAACTAAAAATATTTAGAGATGACAACAAAAACTTAGCAAGCCAATTCTTGAAGGAAAATGATCTTTTGTGGGAAAACTTGACTGTATAGAAACATTTTAAAAATGAAAGCCTTATGATACTGTACATAGAGGACCCTAAAGATTCCACCAAAAAACTATTAGAATGGATAGATGAACTCAGTAAAGTAGTGGGATACAAAATTAATATTCAGAAATCAGTTCTATTTTTATACACCAATAGTGAATTATCAGAAAGAGAAATTAAGAAAACATTCCCACTTATGGCATAAAAAACAAACAAACAAAAAACCAGGGATAAATTTAACCAAGGAGGTAAAAGACCTGCACTTGGAAAATTATAAGTCACTGAAGAAAGAAATTAGAAGATAACAAATAAATGGAAGCATGTACTATGCTTATGTATAGGAAGAATTAATATTGTTAAAATGTCCATACTACCCAAAGCAATTGAGATTCAGTGCAATTCCTATCAAAATACCAATGGCATTTTTCACAGAACTATAACAAATAATGCTAAAATTTATTTGGAACTACAAAAGACCCCAAATAGCCGCAGCAATCATGAAAAAGAACAAAGTTGGAGGTATCACACTGCCTGATACCAAACTATACTACAAGGCTATAGTAATCAAAACAGCATGGTACTGGCATAAAAACATATAATTCAATGGAACAGAATAGAGAGCCCAGAAATAAACCCTCACCTATATGGTCAAGTAATCTATGACAAAGAAGGCAAGAATATTCAATAGGGTAAAGACAGTCTGTTCAATAAATGGTGTTGGGGGAACCGGGCAGACACATGCAAAAAAAAAACTAGAGCACCTTCTTACACCATATACAAAAATAAAATGGATTAAAGACTAAATGTAAGACCCGAAACCATAAAACTAGAAGAAAAAAATAGGCAGTAAACTCTGACACTGCTCTTAGTAATGCTTCCTTTTTTGACATATCTCCTCGGGCAAGGGAAACAAAAGAAAAAGGAAACAAATGTGATTACATCAAATTACAAAGTATTTGTCCAGCAAAGGAAACCAACAAAATGAAAAGACAACCTACTGATTGGGGGAAGATATTCACCAATACATCTGATGAAAGGTTAATATCCAAAATTTATCAAGAACTCCTATAACTTCACACCAAAATAACAAACAATCCAATTAAAAATGGGCAGAGACCTGAACAGACAATTCTCCAAGGAGGGCATACAGATGGTCTATAGACATGAAAAGATGCTCATTAATCATCAGAGAAATGTGAATCAAATGAGACGTCACCTCACACTTGTCAGAATGGCTATCATCAACAGACAAGTGGTGAGGAAGTGGAGAAAAGGGAACACTGGTGCACTGTTGTGGGGATTGCTAATTGGTGCAGCCGCTATGAAAAACAGTATGGAGGTTCCACAAAAAATTAAAAATAGAACCGCCTTAGGGCTCAGCAATTTCACTTCCGGGTATTTATCTGAAGAAATCTAAAACACTAATTCGAAAAGATATACGCCTTCCTATGTTCATTGCAGTATTATTTATAATAGCCAAGATATGGAAGCAACCTAAGTGCCCATCAATAGGTGATTGGCTAAAGATTCTTCTACATACACACAACTGAACATATAGTGGAATATTACTCAGCCATAAAAAGGAATGAAATCTTACTATTTGCAACAACATGGGTGGACCTAGAGGGTATTATGTTAAGTGAAATATGTCAGACAGAGAAAGGCAAACACTATATGATCTCATATGTGAAATCTAAAGAACAAAATAAATGAATAAACAGACTAGTACAGAGAACAAACTGATGGTTGCCAGATGGGAAGGGTTTGGGGGCTGGGTGGAAAAGGTGAAGGGATTAAGAAGTACAAAATGGTAGTTACAAATAGTCACAGGGATGTAAAGTACAGCAGAGGGAATATAGTCAGTAATAATACAATAACTATGTACAGTGCCAGGTGGATACTAGGCTTGTTGGGGGATCACTTCTTATATGAATGCTGTACGCTGGAAACTAATACAAGCTAATATTGAATGTCAAGCATACTTGAAAAATAAAGGAATTATTTTTATGTCAAAAAAAGTGGATAGATGTGTAAATTAATACAGCATCTTCTAAGGGCTTTATGGCAATTGCAGTATTGTTTGTAATACAGAAAATTGGAAACAACCAGATGTCCATTAGTAGGGGATTAATTAGATAAAGGAAAGTAAATTAACGCACAGGAATATTGTGGAGTCTTTATAAAGATTGAAATAGATTATATATATGCTGACATGGAGAGGTGTCCTGAATATACTGATATATTCTAAAGTATCAATTTTAAAAGACTACAGCAAAATACTTTATACAAATACTGTGTTGAGAGTAAGGGACTGTTTAGTTCCAGGAAATGGGAACTCTAGCTGAGTCAGGTTATTACAACCCTGCCCTTAGGGAGCTGCACTTCTTACATTCTACATTAGCAGTTACTTTTTCCTGCCCCTTAAATTCCTTGAAATAACTGTAGAATCCCAGCAACAGTTTATGTAATTATTGGTCCATTCTTCCAGGCTAAGGTACTGTGTGGATGATGCCCTTCATGATGTCAGAGTTCCCGCAATCACTAATTGCCTTGTAATCCTTATCCTGTGTTTCCCTCACTCTTTTCATTAAAGTACCTTGAAAGTTCATNCTAAGTAACACTAAGCTGCAAGTCGTTTGCCTTTATTCACCCAGTCTCAATTTCTTAAAGGTCCTTACGAAAACCGCACTGTCTATGAGACTTTGGACATTGGCTGGCAGCTGCTCCGAATCTTCCCCAAAGAAATGCTGAAGAGGATCCCTCAGAGCACGCTGAGCGAGTTCTACCCTCGGGACTCTGCAAAGCACTAGCCGCCCCCTCCCCGCCGGCTCGACACTCTTGTGAAATACTGGTTCTGTTTCCTTTATTCCTTTTGCACCCCCCTACCCCCACCTTTGTGTTGGAGTTTACGGTGTTAGCCTGTAATTAAAAACAAAGAATAGGTGACATGTTGTGCCAGTGTTGCCATGTCTTAAACTGCTAACAGACTTTGAAATCGCCCCTGTTCAGAAAACCCGGATCTTCAATGCTTTGTTTAAAGTGGCTGCAGGGATGGAGGTGAGGTTTTCTTACTGATGTGTGTATTTGTACATAGTGGGGTAGTTAGTTGCCTAATAATGTCCTCATTATTTGGGTCTCCCGGATCTTCCCTCTCCACCCCCATAAGAGGATCACTATCAGAAGGTAGACTGCTTTGCTCTCCTCATTAGGGCCGGCATGAGGGCTGAAAGATGCCTCCCCTCAGAAGAGCCCAGAGGCTCTGAGCATTTGGTTTCGGATTGCTGGTGTGTCTCGAGGTCTGTGCTGCTGCTCTGAGCAGATGGCTTTTACCGGCCACCTGCTCTTTGCTATTTAATGACTAGGTTAGAAAAGGAGTCTCCTTTTTCCTCTTTAGCAGTGGGTCTCCTGGGTCTTAACTGCCCTCCCTGCCTCTGAGGAGCACAGAGGCCTGCAGCTTGTGCACAGCTGGCCTTGATCTGATGTAGTGAGATCGGCTTACTCTTGACTGGGTTTCTACTTAGAGGAATCATAATGAAAACAACTGATAGAATTGTTGCTTGGAAAGAGTTGGAGTGCAATAAAAAAAGAAGAAAGAAAAACCTATACCCATTCTACACTTGGACATGCTACCAGAGGTGTAAGTTTCTACAGTGCTGGCCAGATGCTAAAGGCAAGGTGGGCGGAGAAAGCTGTCCAGTGTGTGGGTGTTTAAACCCTGTTCGAGAGCAGCCTTTGGAAAAGTCCCTATTTGGTCCTGCTTCTTGACCTCTGTCTGCCTCTTCAGGGTGATCTTGTGGCACAAGTGATTGCATTTAAAAGCTTTAGCCTTTCATTCCTGCTCCTTCCTGCCG